CAACGGTAGCCGTTTCGCACGGCGGGGACGGCTGGTAGTTTTAACGATGGCGGGGAAGAGGGGCGGGGAGCGGCTCGAATTTTATTAAGGGGGCACTCGTCAGTGGCCAACGAGGGGATGGATGCATATGCATGAGTCGCATTCGCGCATACGAACATGTTTATTGTAATACTGACACAGAGCGCGCGAAATTAGCGCGGGTTAAGGCGACAGTTTCTATCCCCCTCCCCTACACCCCTCCTCCGCGCGGAATATGCACGAGAAAATACATCTGCGCGCATTGTTGCACTGGGTCATTGCAACTACAGAAATATTTTATTGCAGCCTCGAGCTTGGGACTTTCGAGCTTGTGGTTATGACCCGTGAACGTAACTGTTTTCGCTTATGCACTTCCCCCCGGACTTTGGAATGAAAAGTTGCCGCGATGAAGTATTCAAAGAAAACCGGAAGTTTGTCTCGGTTCCCGCATTTCGTGAAAATTGGATCAGCAGAGGTATGTTTCTATTAAAATGTGCATAGTTCTGCGTTTTCGTTCTTCGTGGATTCCTTTTTCGTCCATTCGAGTGAATGAACGAAAATAATAATAATAATAAAACGTAGAATTTGGCTTTTTGTTTCAAACTTGGATAAATAATTCGTGAAAACCGTCCATTATGGAACTTTAAAGTAAAGTTTCTCTTTTTACTTTGAGCAGAAATTCCTTTATGTATTATACATTTATTATTAAATGGAATTCCGGCTCATTTGCATTTCTTCAACGCGAGAATCTTATCTGGATGCCATTTAGAATCCAGAAGTCTATAGCGGAAAATTACAGGGTTTTCGCTATTGCTTTGCCATACTTACGATCTGTTCGTTTGAGATTAAAAAAATAATTTAAACAACACGAATGCAAATTTGATAATTTGTAAATAAACATCCAATCTTTACTGCGATTGTTAGATTGTTTCCTTATATACGCTGTTCTACGATAAAAATAATCTTCGATAAATCAAAAAACCTAAAGAAAAATTTTACATTATACATTTACATATTTCACGTTAGAATACGATGAAAAATATACCACTCATTCTGGCTGGAACAAATAGAAATAAAAAAAAGAAAAATTATAAACACAGAAAATATTCTAAAATATTTCGCATTTATTAGAATAGAAAGCCTGAGTGATCGAACTCGTTCCATCTTCGATCCAGGATATCGTTATTTGCTTATATCCACGGCAGATGCGCCCGGTCGAATCTAGACGGAGAGAACAACGGCGGAGGAAGGGGCCACTTCGTATGCAAATCCAACTCCGCCCTGAATAAAATATTAACCGACCAATCGAGGTACGTGGCGGGGGTAGAAGCACGCGATTCTTCCTCGGCGGGTTCGTTTCCTCGAGGTCGCCTCCTCTTTTTCATTATTTCTCGCGTAGGCATCATGCGTGAAAATATACACCTAGACATGAACCAGCGCTTACGTTCTAGCAAAATTCTCTTTGCATCTTATTTTCTGAGATGGTGGCTCGCATCTCGTTTCCTCATCATCGTCGAGGAAACTAGTCGCTAACCTTCGTGACGATGCCTCTTCCTTGGTCCGTTCCCCGAGGTCTCTTTAAATCGAAGACCTCGTTATCTCACCGACCAACGGATTCTCGTTAGCGTAGCTTTAATTATAACCACTCCACAGTCCAGATAATCGGTGCCCGAATGGAGGAAAGTTGACGGATGGAGAAAACGAAATTCGCATCTAATAATTAACGTTGATATTTTTTTTCTTTCTTCAAATTAGGATTATTGAAATATTGTTCTGAATATTTGAAAAAAAGAAAAAGTAAAATACTTTGATTCATTATCTATATGGATTCTATATGGATACATTTTTCTAGAATTTATTATCGAATAATTATCATTTAAATTTCATTCTATAATAATAAGAAAATAAGGGAAATTACTCTATTCGAGAAAATGAAATTTTACCATATAATGTTAAAAATAACAATCGAGGATAAGAATACGGAAAATTATATGCATATTTTATATTCATTATCACGTCTCCAATAAGTAAAATCCATCCATTTTCATTTTATTTATTTCTTTCGATCCTTTTAACGATCTGTTATATCTGGAAATGTTTTCATCCATCACGTCTTATTAACACAACTAATTACTATTCTTAATCAATTCTCTCTTCATTTGTTTTGTTTCGAAATCTCTCAATGTATGATAGCAATAGAAGAAAATCTCTATCTTTCGTTTAATTTAACTCTTTACATCATGACTTCCTTGTTAAATTCGAATAGTCGAAAAATATTCAGATTTCTAACAATGAAATAGAATTATATGAAGTACTATTTCTTCCTTTTAATTATGAAAAAACAAAAATAATATGAGAATGAATCTGCTAATATCGTTAATATAAATTTTAAACAAATTTCTTTTGTTCTCGATCATTTCTTTCTCAAAAATATTTAATTTCTTTTTGAAAAATCGGCCAATCGTATCACAAAATGATGACAACGGGTTTCTTGATCGTTAACAAGCATGGATCGTAGTCGATTTTTCTTCCGCTTGAAATATCCTCCTTTTATTTCACGGCGATTGTTCGTTTCGCGTTTTAGATCGAGTTGTTATAAAGAAATTCGTGAGAAACGGCCGGAAAAATAATAAGAAACAGATGAACGGATAACGAGTTGTTTCGCTCTTTTTACTTTGTATCGCTTCCTTCTTTTTTCTTCCATCGAATTTCGTTTTTTTTTTTCTCTCTTTTTGAAACAAAAACTACAAATTTTCAACGAAAAGATCGATGGAATCAATAAAATCATATATCTCGGCCCAACAATGCGTTGGTTTTTGCTGATTTTTGAAATATTTTCAAATGCAAGAAGTAAGGATTAAATAGCGATAGAAACGAGTGTAATTAAGAAAGTTTCTTTGAGAAACCGCGTTCCCCATCTCTTTATTAGTTCCTCCTCTTTGTAAATCTCTGGCGCGAACTGTGTCAGAAACCGGTTTTCGCAGACGTCTTTGAAAATCCCCGCATCGAAATTCCATCTTTGATTAAACCCAATGCCGGGTCATTAAGACGATCAATTATCTTGGAATGAGAAGCTGGTGTAACTTGGAAATCGTGTATTCATCTTGTTGGATAGTTTAGAAAAATCATCATTCCTTTTTTTTTCATTAATAATTTAAACTCGCAATCTAAATGAAAAATACGCGTTTGTACAACAATTTTCTATAATAAATGATTTGTTGCCATATACTGTTGTATCATTAAGTCCAGGCGAGATAAAAAATGTTCACGGATTTTCTCTGATGATGTATGGACAAATTTCAATGTATCTTTCAATTTTTTAACAATAATTCCAATTTATTTGTTTCGAATTTTTTAGAATTTTATTACACTATCAAAAAATTAAATCATCTCATTAATCATACAATTTCGGAAATTTACATTTGAATCAATATGTCCCTTTATTATCATAGGTTGAATATCATTCAATAATTATTTACAGATTTCTCTGTTTAAATTTTGATAACAGAAGAATAATTATTCTACTTATTTTACTTGTTATTATATTGCAATTATTGCAAGAATAATTACAATTTCCTGAACTTCATCACGCAAATTGCAACGCTTGGAAAATAACACAGTACATATATATCCATAATAATAATATCAATTCTTATAAAAATTCAACAATAATTATTTTCCAACTTGTCCATTTCGAATTTCTTGCAATTTTGTTCCATTGATCGATTCAAAAAAAATATTCTTACCAGCCGTTTCTTACTTCCCGGAATCATGGATGAAAAATGGAGGAGCCAGGAGCGAGAAAAAGCGTGGGAAAAGCGAAGACGATGGCACACCGTCCGTTGACGAGAGATAAGCGACGTGACCGGTCCGGTCACGTCGGTTCGCGATACCGCCACGTTGCTTTTCACCTTTTATCCAAGAGGCGCGGTCGGATCCCCTGCTTAGCCAGCCGCGAAATTACGTAGCTTCGTAGCCGCGATACACTCTGTTCCGTGGAAACAAAATTCTGGCGAGGCGCGATTCTAACGAGGGTGCATTGCGCCGGTGAGGGGTGAGAAGGGAGTTCGGCATGGTTTGTTCGAAGCTGGACCCGAACAGAAAAAAAGAGCCAGAGATCTCGTTAGGGGGGGAATTTCTGCTCGACGCATCGTTATTTCGATTAATTATTAGGCAAGCGCGCTCGTTGGTCGGCCATATTGTTCGCGGTCCGATGATCGCGTCCTCGTGCGGGGGGGAGGGAGGGAGGGAGAAAAAAATATGTCGACCACCCGCTAGACACGTCGATTCTCTCATTTCTCTTTCTCTTTTTTCCGCAATTAACGTGAATTAACGCTACCATATAATAGATGCGATCGGTAATTCTCGTAAATGAGAATTGTAACTAACAAACTGTGTGCCAATGAAAATTCTGTTTCACGAGAGAGAAGTATTCGACGGGGATTAGGGGAGATATTTTAATATTTAACGAGGAAGATGACTGTGTAATATAGGTATACGCGCGTGTGTATATATACATATATATATATATGAGAACGATGAATTAATCAGCGTTCCATCATCGAATCAATTTTCGAGGATCCCGAAATTAAGCGCTCTTAAACGTCGCCATCATTGTATGTTAAATTCTGCGTGGGAGGTTCTATTAGCATGACGTACGTATAATTTCCGGGCTCAATTAAGTCGTCTCGATGTTAAACAGACCGCCGAGGTTACAAGCCTTGGCATTACCAAGCTTTTTCATCCGATCTGCTACGGAGTCTAATCGTAATAACGATTAACAGGACGAGTCGTAATTAAAGGTTCAAAGTGAGAGAGCGAGAGGGGCTGAGAAACTACGATACACGGGACTCGATAACATCTCGAACGATAATCTAATGAGCGGCGACTCGCGCTATTCATTTCCAAACCAGTTAACCTATTCGTTAGACTCGTAATAAGATTTAAAATGCTACCAACCTAAAAAAATTCACCATCTGATACGAAGTCTAAAAATTCTGTAATTCTTGATCATTTTCACGATTCTTTGATTATATTACATTCGCGATAGCGAATCTTTAAATAAGAGCAAGAGAAATAAAGTAAATGGAATGAAAATTTCAATCAAAATCATTTCACGATCTTTGAAGATTTTCGAAGATTTCTACGCTTGAAAAATCGATTCGAATGTTTCGTTTGATAATCATCAGACTCGAAATTGTTCCAAATCGCATCACCACTCGTAATTCCAGGATAATCGAGCCACTCGAGTTGTGAACGGAAAGAAATTGCGTCGCACGGGGGAACGGTTAAAAGGGAACTCTTCCTTGATCCGTTTCCTCTCAGGAGGGACCGGTCGGGGTGTGGGTGCATCGTGGAATCGTTTTCGGTGGCTCTTGGGACCGATGACGAAGGCAAATTCCCGGGGAGATTTCCTAGGAACGAACCTAATCCTCCTGCGCCCGGTGAATTGGGTAGTAAAGCGGCCGGTAACGGAAAGGGGTGAATTAGTGTAAGAGTGGCGGGTTTCCGCTCTTGCGGATCGCTAATAGAAAAGCTTCGGGGCTGTTCCGAATTTTTTTCTCTCTCCTCTCTCTCTCTCTCCACCTTTTTCCAAGCTTTCTGCCGAATTATACGAGCCGAATCTATGGGGTGGATTTAGTGCAAGGGAGATTAATGGAAAATATATGTGAAGGACGTAGTATCTCTGCCCGCGTTTCACGTCGTATTGGTTCTGTGACAAAGTTTACAGAATCCTTTGCCGAATAATTGGATAAATAATTACATTGATGAATCGAAACGCGTCCGTAAATTAAAATTTTCTCTATCGTGATTCTATAATTTTATGACAAATATGATAATCAAATTGATTTGATACTAAATATCAAATATTATTATTATTAACGTTAAATCAATTATGCAAGAAAGTCTAGAAAAATGATTATGCTACTTTTTATATTCTTTTGTTTATAATTCATATTATTTTTTCAGAAGAATAATCAAATTACAATAAATATTGCCCGCAATTAACGTATTGAACAACCAATAAATGTAAATTCGTTGATGAAATTGCTCAACGTTAATTATTAAACCGAACGTTTGTCACCTATTTATTTATAAGAATTGCAAACGAATAGACGAATTTCGTTTTCCTTTTTCCTCGCGCGCTTGAACTGGCGGTAATAGGAAAGATAATATGCGCGTACGTAATGAATTTTCTTGATCGTTCCACCAATTTACACGCAACTCCGCAATTCAAAGGAGCGGAACCACCACCAACGCGTTTCATAAATTATCCTCCGGTTTTCATAGGCCGTGTATCGGGCCACGACGATAAATATTTATAGTAACTCGCGATGTTCAAATAAATATTTATGAACGTCCTGATCGCGACTATAAATATTTATTCGAGCCTTCCCCCCCGCAGAAACGCAACTCGCCTTTTCACGCGCGTTCTCCAACTTTCGACTCACCGTTTCACCAAAAGGAATGAGAGAGAGAGAGAGAGAGGGGAAAAGGAAAAAGAATTCCACTCTGATTTTCCACGGTCTCTTTCCTCCAATTAGAGACGGCCGCGCGTGGACACTCTCCTCGATTTCCCACGATTGATATTCAATTCACAGGCCAAAGCAAATATCCATTCGCCGAATAGGTCAACAATCTCGCGGATCCCTTTTGGATTACGATTCCTTCTCGATGGAAGGTAAGAGGTATGGTCGAATTTTTACAGAGAGCATGTCGTGTCGCACGAGACCGCACGAGGGAAACTGGCGCGAGCATAGGAATTACTGTCGACGCCGGTGTAATAATATCCAACCGATCGTGTCTGGCCGGGCCGCGAGCACGCGCGATCTACTTTTTTGCACGGCAGGATCGTTAATGAGAGAGTCACGCGACACACGCGATCGAAAGCCCCCTCCTTTTCGGGGGACCACGCGTTTTTTTATCGTACCCTCTCGTTATGTCGTGATGCGATGGATGAGTCATACTTATGAGGAATCATAAGTGTATATTCGGGGGAGTAAATCGTTCGTGTTTCCGAAATATTTCATCCCATTCGAAATGAAAAATTCGATCAATTTTTAATCGGAGAGAATTTCGATAGATAGATCTATTTTATCTATTTATTTAGATAGATAGATATTTTGGAATAATTTTAATTCACGTGTATCTTTCTTGTTCAACATTTCACTCGATTCTAGCTCTATTCTATTTCAATTGGAAAATCCAGATTCGATTCTGATTAATCGAGTTGACGAGAATTCAAGTTTTATCTGGAAATTTGAAATTTAAATTACTCACTTTCTGTACGTAAGTAGCAACAATAAAAATAGCACAAAAGAAAATCGAGCGTAATATAAAATCACGTGAGCAAATAAATATCTATCTAATCTACAATCGACACTGCACTAATCAACAGACTATAAATCATTTACCCTTGCTTCTCTCCCTTTTCGCGTTTTCTTCAAACCACAGAGACTCGCCTTCATCCCCCAAAGCTTTCCCCGTAGCTCGTTTGATTAATTACAAACCGGATCGGGCTGAATGTAAATCGCGATATCCACCCGTATTTTTGCGCGTGTTGGAAGCGAATCCACGGGCGCGGAAGAGATCTATGGCGGCCGATCACGAAACGTTTTACGTGCGCCTACATGAAGGACAAGCGCGATCGACACGGTGTATTAATACTTGTTAATGCTTTGGAACCGCGTCACTATTTATCGCCACCGTGCGGCTACCATGTCCGATCTCCTCTGGAGAACACACACGTGGGCGTCGTCCGTGTCTCTTTTGACCGGTTCCACTAATTTTTTTTAAATCTCTTCTCTTTTCTCTCCATCCACGTTCTCCGTGGCAAGCAGCAACTTTCCTCTCCCGCAATCGTGCAATCGATTCGTTTAAATAATTCAAGATTAAAGATAATCGAAACCTCACGAGATAAAATTTCGTGAATGAAGAATAATAGGAGATAAATTATTTATTTAGACGTGGCTGATCATCTGTTATGACGAATTGTGATAAGTGATGTATTATTATATTATTGTATAAATTGGAAGACATTAAAATATTCTATATATATCTACAGTGCGTAAGTATTTGGAGAAAAGAACTGTTTGTTGAAGGAAATTCATCTGACATTCTATTATAAGAAATAAGAGATTTACAAAAAATTTTTTGACTTATATCGTGGATGATTGTTTTGTTGATTACAGAAAAGTAATAAGACGAGGATGAAAGTTGTATAACATTAATTGCTGATGGATTTTTTATGTTTATAGAAATAAGTGAGATTTATGGAAATTATTCTTTCTAGAATTGAAATAATCGATTCTTGTTTGCATCAAGCTTCAATTATTATAGTCATTGAAAAAGAATTTCTTTTTTTCTAATAAATTTTAATTTAAATTTTTCGAAATTATTTTATAAAAATTCTCAAATATTCTGACAAAAAATTTTCAGCTGAATTTCCATTTAATTAAAAAAAATTTTTGCATCTTTTTATACTCGATTAAAAATAAATTTAAATATAAAAAAATTAGATCTCAAAGTACGTTTCTATCATTAATTGTATATAAATAATGGCGCAACGATTGAAATAAAAGATCGAGTAACCGAATCTATTTCGATAACCAATTTCGATGAGAAACCAGAAACGAAAAAATAGAAAAAAGCCCGGAAGACAGATAAGATCGTTACAGCGGAAGGCTTCTTTCGCGTCTTCTTTCGCTGTAAACTCGAGCGATTTTCCAAACTGCCTCATGAAAGTAACGCGGTACCACGGCTATCGCGTCGCGTGTATACGTAATAAGTCGAACGCCTAGATTCCACGGATGTGGAGAAAGAGCGAGACCCATTAAAACCGGAAGTTGAAGGTGCTTTGCATGGGAACGACGTCGTAGAGGCGGAAGAGTAACACGGAAGAGTGTCGATTCAATATCCATCGAAGTCAGGATGGGATGCGGCTCAAGGAACGGATACCAGTCAGGTGAAACGACCCTCCCCTAGAGTATTCCGTAGATACAGGGGAATCGAAGGAGAAGAAAGGAGAGAGGGATCGAAGTAACTAGGGAAAAAGGGTGGTGGCTCATTTTCCGTGGGGAGCGACGAAATCTGGCTACGATTACCCAAGAACGGAAGGAAGGGATAGGGAGGTGATTCCCTACCCTTCGAACTTTCTCATGAATCTGCAGAGAAAGAGAGAGAAAGAGAGAGAGAGAGAGACGATATTGAAAAGCTAATAAAACAGCGTAATTCGGTCGGTGGCGCGGTCCATTGCAGTTTAACCGGGAACGCAATTTAAACAAATTGGTGGAGCGAACACGGTGGCGCCACCATCCCTTTCTCTCCTCCATCTCTGTCCATCTCTGCTCTATGTCTCTATCTGTTCATCCATCTCCGGTTCGGTCCTCGTCCCTCCTGGAGCACGACGTGCCGCTGCCTAGGCGCCTTGCTCGATTAATCGAAATCGAAACGAGCGCGCCGTTCCAACGGACGTTTATCGCCCGTAGGGCAATAATTCGATTTTCGGCGGTGCCCGGCATCCCCCTTTCTCTCGGCGCGAGCACACCCGCCTCGTTGTTCATCCGCCGACACACGCGGCGAAACTGGCGATCAGAACTGCGGGAGTTTATGGATTTTCAGTTGGCGAACCGCCATCCCCGACTCGATCGAATTAAAAACTCGGTGACGCTGCACTGGCTTCGAATCGCTCTCGACTTCTCCTCTGGTTACTTCGTTCCCATTTCCTTTGTTTTCGTTTCTATTTCTTCTTTTTTCCAATTTCGTTTTTTTGTATTTTTTCTTTGTCGCGTTGGCTTGCAGATTCGGTTTTTGGTTCGGTTTGGTTCTTCGCTCGTTTTGTTTGCTTTTCTCGTTCAATCGTGATAGAAAAAAAAAAAAGAATAAAAATTTGCAGGAAAACATTCCACTTGCCGCCAGAATTTACCATGACGTGAATACAATCCCCTTTTTGTGATTTACTTTTACTAGCTTAGAGAATAGTTGAACTCGTGCATTCGTGGAACTCGGTTTTTTTAAATATTGTCCTGGTTTCTTACTTTATTTCCCTCCGCGTTTTTCAACCGGACCTTCCTGTGTATATGTAACACAGCATGTGGCCACGAGTGAAGTGGACGTTAAAAGAGCTCGCGCATCGAGCTCACGAGTTGGGGATTAAAATGTATTGCGAACGACAGAGTTTTCCATGTTTCGAATATCGTTTCGACGTTTCGGAAAGAGTAAAGGGAAATTTTTTTATCATTTCAATTTCACGAGGAGGACTTTTCATAAAAATTTTCATAAGAATTGCTCGCGTGATTCCCATGCTCGGTGGATACTCGCTTTTCGATGTCACGAGGGCGGAAACCGACGATCCATCCGGAAATTCGACGTGTCACCGTTGCGCCGGCCAACGTTATCTGCTTTCGAATAATGTTTAGCAGCGATTAATAACCTCTGTCGCGGTACCACACGCGCACTTTCGTCGCGTACGCGAGGGTGGGGAGGGGTGGAGGGGTGGGGGAGAAAAAAGCGATTTCTAACGGGGACTGTACGACCACTGGGTGACAACGTAGTTTCCCATGTTTTATGGTCAGTTCCGCGCGCCATGGTATCTGATTGCGTCATAAATCGAACGAGAAACGGGGCGAGGGTTGCAGCGCGCGATACACGACCTACGAGATTTCGTTTTGCCGAAATTTAGCGGTCGTGTTCGCCCGTTAATTTTTTTTTTTTTCTTTTTTTCCGCCGCATCCCTTCCCTCCAACCATCAACGATATATTTTTTGCTCGCTGCGAATAGCGCGAGCTAGGCATAATTCTTCGACGCGGCGCGGAGTCTCGTTAATGTCACGTTCTCGTGGATTTGATCTAGATGATCTCGTATGTTTTATGTCTTTCCTTTCTTTCTTTCTTTCGTTTGTTAACGTTTCGGATCTGAAGCGTTTCAGATCTTATCCGTACCGTCATCAATTTTGTTTTCAGGGCAAGATGCAATCGTCCAAGCAGCTTTAAATTAAAATGAAATTGAAATGAAATTATTTGGATGTATATGGATTGAATGTTACATTCTTCAAGGATCTTTCTCCGATAAATTATTTTTTTCTTGTATAAATAATATAAGAATAGATAAAATAAATAAATAAAAAAACTATTTATTCCGATTCGATATAATGGATATAAAATCTTATTACATTTTACTCTATATTTATTGTTACTTAAAAAACTCTCTTTTGAAATTGAATTTCCATAGAGAAAAATGTAAAACTATTTTTAAATTCTCTTCGATCTATATTTTTAGATATTAATTGTAAAACGTATTTCTTGATACATGCACAATGTACATCAACATGTAAAAAAATTGAAAAATATTTTATCGAGTTATACGATTTCAAAGATGAATAAAGCAAATAAAAAATTCTTCGTCGAATCGTCAACTTCAATCTTAATAATTAATTAAAATATTAAAACAAATTATGAACGAGAATAATTTTGATCGATGGAGGAAAGGGTTGAAACCGCGACAGCATCCTCGCAGCGTGTTTCGCAGCGCGAGGTGGGAAACAATTAATACGCACGACGTATCCGGCGCGCACTTGTAAGCGAACCCCGGGTACCTGGTACACACGACACATGGCCCATTACGAATTAATGTAGCATTTCACGGCGAATTAATTACACGGAGAACGGAGTCTCTCTCGAGTGGCTCTCGAGAACGAAAGAACGTACCCGGCTCTGACTCACCGCTCCACTCGAGTACCAAATCGTTTTAATGGAACAACTGTTACCCGTTCGGTCGGCTCAGTCGCGACTAAAAGCGTACCGACTATTTTCAAATCGAGCCCTGCTATTCGATCGTGACGATATTGAGAGTGGAGGAGGATCAATTTTTTCTGAGAGAGAATGGTGTAATGCTTCGTAATTCTGCCCTCTCCGCCATTTTCCTTCGTTTTCTCTTCTTCTTTTTTTTTCCCCCGATGATGAGTTGTAGAAAATAAATATGCCTCAACGTGAATATGCGAAAATCCACATTTTCTATTCAGTTTTACAAGAGAGGAATTTTGAAGCGAGACATTATTATTGGTCAATCTTAGTTAAAATATTTGCTATCTTATTGGATATTTCAAAAATATGAAGAGAACGGCTTGTATCTTTGACAAAGTTCAGAGAACTTATCTTCTATTTTTCAACATGAATTGATCTGATAATGATAATTTGATTAATTTTGAAAATAGAAAGACGAGAAACGTCAGTGTTCAAACTGTTCCAATTAATTTCAATTAATTATAAATCAATGTGAAAGATTATTCCTCTTATTTCTAGTGATTAGATAAAATTGAAAAACTTATTTTTCCCATTAATATCTAATCCATTCATTTTAACGAGTACGAGAAAATTGTTTGTAATCTTCGACCTATATTTATTAAAAATTTTATCCTACAAACCTTTACGAAATCATTCTCTGTAATTAAATGCAATCAAATTGCAGACCTCTATCGATTCCCAATTTATAACGACAATAACCTCCGACGAATCGAAACGAGTGCACGAAAATCGAGAGGGCGAGTGTATAACGGGTCGCGTTGACAAAGAGACCCGACAGGAACGGATCAGGGGCATCGTGGACGTTTAAATTACCAGCCCTCGAGTTCTAAATGTCCGGAAGGAGAAAAAAAAAAAGAAAAAAGAGTTGCCAAAGTTCCTTCAATAGACTGGAGGTCGAACATTGTCCCTTGTCGTTTAATCACGTTTTTCACCGAGACCTTTTTCCTCGCAGTCAACGCGACGAGCCGAGAGAGAGAGAGAGAGAGAGAGAGAAAAGGTGCGGGTCACTCCCCAACCGAGTAAACTTTATTTCCTTCAGCGGGGCGAATCGAGTGGTGCTCGCGAGGATGGACGGATTTCCTACGACGAAAGAAACTAGGAGCGCGGAGGGAGGGAGAAAAAGAGGGGGGGGAGAAATGGCGAGGGATACCGGCGGGATAATCGTAACTTCCAAACGAGAGACACGCCCCCTCCTCCACCTCCGCAATTTTCCTCGAAACGAACTCGCAGAAAAGTTTGCTCGTCGTGTCGGTTGCACGCGACACGGTGGAAATCGTCCCGAGCCTGCAAAAACTCCTTCCTCGACTTCATCCACAACGATCCGCGAAGTCGACATTCTCCGCGAGTTGGTACGATTTCGTTCCAGGATCTTCATCCCCGAGGTTCCCACGAGGGGAATGAAGCCGGTTGGCACGCCCGCTCTGTTCGAGAGAGCAGCGTATACAACCGTGGAGACGAGTGGTCTCGCGAAGTCGAACCGGTTACACGAGGAGGCGGAGGTCGAAGGTCGCGGGGAGTCGGGTTGCCTCGTTTCAGCGGAACAGCATCGGCCGACTTCCAAGTAGGTCGAGTGCTGCCCTATCATTGCTGGTAGAGTTTACGAGTATTTATTGCGTCCGTGTTGTCGTGGACCGCCCGAGATCGAGCGTGTATCCCCGCCTCGATCTTGAAATATCAATTCCGTGCCTGTTTATTAGAGGCTCGATGCCTCGCCACGCGTGATAGGTCCGATATTCTTGGCCCCACACGTCGATCGGACGCGATCTTGTCTTCTATTGCGTTCTCTATTTGTCATTTGTCTCGTAGTAGTAATTTGTTTTTCAAAATCCCTATCGCGTTTAATAATTTGAAGAATTGAATGAGCGAATTAATGAAATAATTACTGTCTCTAAATTATTTAATGAATTTAAATTTTTAGTTAAAATTCTAAAATTTAATTACGGGACGATAAGATCCTATAGAATTTTATTTAATTTATTATTTAATTTAAATTATTTATAAATAAATAATAAATTAAATTTGATTGGGAGGATTAATAAACTTGATAAACTTTGATTAAAAGATATAAAATGATTTATAATTTATAAATATAAGAATAAATTACCTTAGGGATAACAGCGTAATATCTTTTGATAGATCTTATTGATAAAGATGATTGCGATCCTCGATGTTGAATTAAGATAAAAATTGAATGCAGGAATTTAATTATTTAAGTCTGTTCGATTTTTAAAATCTTACATGATTTGAATTCAAATCGACGTAAGTCAGATTGGTTTCTATCCATAATAAAAAATAAATTGATTGTACGAAAGGACTTTAATTTTTAAATAATTTATAGAATTTAATAATAAATATTTGTTTATTATTTTAGCATAATAGTGCATTAAATTTAGAAATTAGAATGAAATAATAATATAAACTCTTTTAAAAATAAAGTATTTATGTATATCGTAAAAGAAAAAAACAGAGAATTAACAAATAATTATATATACATTAGAAATATCTCGTTTGTTTTTTGATGTTTATATAAGTTTTAAGAAAAGAATTTTTATCTTTTATTATGACGTTATTAATACGGTTTATTCGGAATTATTAGTGAATTGATATTTGCCGCGGAAGAGACAATCTTCCATTAAATCTATGCGTTTTTCAAACGATAATTTTACATTACGTCGCTATTCTCATAAAAAACTCTAAATATTCTAATTTAAAACAATTAAAACACAAAGGTAAATTTTTCATTCACAATTTTTATAAATCAAAAATAACTTGTTTATTCCTATTATACTAAAACAATCTAGAAATTTCAATGCTTCTCCATTATCACCACTGTTTCGTTCCAAAAATTGTCCACTACGGCAATGACCGATACGAAACTTTCGAAGCAAATATGGGACAATGACGGAGCAACTCGCCTCGAATTCCCTCCCACACGTAGAACTAAATAATCGACTTTTATCAGTACCCATTCGCTGCTTCGAAATTCCAGTTTCCACGCGCGGCAAACTCGAAACATTTCCAACTCGCGCGCACCATTCCATCCGTGCCGAAATTCACCTCGAAATTCGGAATTATCGCGGCGATTTACGAATTCCTCGCCCTATTGTCCGCCCCCTCCTTGTGCTCCTCCCCCCCCCCCTTCCTCGATCGACGCAGACGTTCCGCGGAGGCGAATTACGCGAAATTTTCGTCGGGACAGATTTCACGGTCTGCCTGAGACGTTCGAAAGTTTGGAGACACCGAAGCCAGGCGGAAACGCACCGTCGCTGGCAACGATAGAGGCTGCGGGGAGAAGATTCCCGTCGTCGAAGCCGCTTGTTGGAAGAAAACGAGACGATCGCAACGCTGGGGGAATCGATCAGGATGGGGTAAAATCGTGGGAGGGAAAGTTTCCCTTAATAACTATGCCGCGTAGCTTGGCAATCGAGGCGTGAACGCGAGATACGGATTAAAGGGGAGAAGTTCGCGTCTTTGGTGTTCCGGCGAACGAGCCAGATTTCCAGCCTTGTTTTTCGACGGGGCTGGAGGTTGAAGGGCGTGAAAGCGCGTCCAACTTCCGCGACGACGAACATTTTTCTCTCGCGACGTCGCATCAAGAAGATGCTGATGGTCGCTACTTGTCGTAGGATCGTGCTTGAGTTTGCGAAATATTGGTTAGATTTTCTTTTTTTTCTATTGAAAAATTATGGAAAATTATGATATGGAAAATAGAATTTTTGCAGAGGATTAATTACACAATTGCAATGTTAATTGTCTATCTGATGTCTAAGAGGATATTTTTTTTTTTATATTTATGTGAAATATAAAGATCAACGCTAAGAATAACAAATTCGAAAGATTCGAAAGAGATATGTCATATGCGTTTCAATTTTAGATCATTTTTATTTCGATTGTACGTTTCATTAGTCAGAATATCACGTGTATTTTATTGAATAAAACGAATGGAATCACTCAGAGAGAAGTATAATTTCGTATTGCGTTTTCTGCGAACGTAAAATTTCCTTTAAATTCTTTCCTTTGAACTTATCAAAAAAATGTATCGTGTGTCTGTTTTCCATTACGTTTCTCCGTTCTTTGAAGTTTTTCAAGTACTCCCAATGGTGCTTCAAAAATCCATCCACTTAAAACAAGCGATATTTCACCTGAAATGACTTTACAAGCACCGGCCAGAATTATTATTCACACTGTTATTCAACATATAAAGAAAACTTATAATTTATATATGAAAAACTGTATTCATAATTTTAAAAGATTACAATTTTGTAATTTAGTAAAGAAAATTGTGTAAATCAAACTTTATTAGATACTTTCATTCATGCACAGTATCCAATCTTCTAACAAATGGCTTTTAAATATTAATTAAAGTAAATGTAAATTTACTTGATTCGATTTTTATCTTCACTAATTTTCTGTTGTTGTTGTTTATTTTAAATTCTAAATAAGTATTACCATTAACAAGAGCACACAAAATATACCAGTTTTCGCCTCGTACAATTGTATATTTTATTTACAACTAAAAATGCGAAAACAAAAACGACGGGGGAAAAATTTGACGAAATACGATGTGAATAGATTCTCATCTATAAAAGAATCTTTGATGAACGCCTCAATATGGCGCACAAAACGAAACGGCTCGTGGGATTTCGTTTGAATTACGTTTTTTTTAAAAAAATAATTGTACAATTTGACCCAGGTTAAATAGAAATTCAGTCGATCAACGAATCCAAGTAGAATTTAATCGAGGTGGAGGGGAGGGTTAAAGTGCACGCGTATAAAAGAGTCGCCCCTTTCGCAGCCGGTTAAAATTAAAAATTTATCTGTAAATCGCGGCTGGGGAGCCGGGGCCCCTGAACGGCCCCGCCTGGATCAAGATAGCCGTGCGGTAATTCGAATTTCAAACAGTCTGGCGAATTTCCATTGTGCCCGCAACGGGCGACATGTATGTAATTGCCACGCTCGGCTATCCGTAACTGGCTTGTTGCTGCGTCGCTGATTGGACAGCTCTCGGCCGCCGCCGGCCGTTTCGCCCTATTACAACGAGACACCGTGCGATACCGCCGCGAGGAAAATCGAATTCTTCCGGTTCACCACTGGACCTCGTTACGTCTCAAACGAGATTCCTCCTCGCGAGACCACTCCACTCCCGCTAATTTCCTTAACCGACGCTAATCGACTCGCGTGCACCGTTACCGGGCATTTAATCCACTTTAACCGGAGCCTCGTGATTCCTTTAATCGATCCACCGGATTGGGTTTGTTGTGTTCGATTTCCCGTTCCAATTGTGTCCAAATATCCGCTCTTCTCGGGACGAGATACTCGGGCAAATTAACTTTCCTCCCCCTACTTTGAGTTTTACAAGCTAGGACTTCGAATATTAATCGTGATTGTTTACGCGGTATTTATTTATGTATGCATGTCATGTTTTCTCGCGAATTGCACGGAAAAGGAAAATAAAGTATCGGTGTATTTGATGCGAATAACATTTTTATTTAAATTTACAATGGTGATCTTTTTCAAATGAATTTACATTTTGTGGTAACGAGTGTTTAAACAAATTCGATTTATTAAAGAGGTGAGATTTAAAAAATAAGCGAAAAAAGTTTCGTTTCACGAATTTTTGTAAATAGTTGTAAATAAATCATTGAATTCTCAGAAGTTGGCATTGTAAAGGAAAATATATACATCAATTTAAAAAACAGTCATTGTAAATTTTATAAATTTATCCCGATCATTGCATTATATATAAAAAAAAAATTGAAATTATTTCTGAAATAAACAATTTACGAAAAACGAAATATTGGAAACTAATATAAATAAAATAGAGCATAACAGTGTAAGAAGAATCTAATCGACTTCGAAATTTTTAAATTCGAAATATAAATCCGAAATGGAAAACTGGTTCTCTATATTTTCTCTATATTTACTCTAAATAAGATCGAGGTTTCAAAAAGATTCTCTCATGACTCATCTTCAGAAATACCTCTCGCGCCGATATTTTATTACAATCCTCGCTCCAAGATGAAACATTCTTACAATTTATCCCCATCCCCTTTTATTTCCTCGTTTAACATCTCTTATCCTCATTCGAAGCTCTCAAAAAATCATCACGAAACACACGAGCACCTTCTCTCTCCGATCTTCTCCGATCAGGATCATTCGTTCAAACTGTATACACGTATCGGAAGATCGAAACGCGGTTCGCTCTTCGCGAGCTGTGTAACCCGTTCAATCAACCTGTCCAAGTTAAAAATCGACCCCGTATACGAGCCCTGTTCGTATTTTACGCTCGCTGTAAACTTCTGAAACGTATCGAGGATCGCCTTGAACGAAAATCGATCCCCGTTCCGCCTTTACGACGAGATTACGCTTTTTACGAGTTCACGCGAGAAATCGAATGCCCTTTTTCGTCCCATCAACGATGTCGGTTCATCGTTAGTCGTTGTAAAACGTGTCTCTATTGCCGCAATAAAAGAGCGAGCGCAAACTGGCCGCGAGTTTCAACGATCGAACGACACTGGACACCGAGTTTCTGGCGCCTCTGCCCGGAAACAACCCTGTTTATATCGGCAATTAACAAGTTGCCGTACGTTGGACAGAGAGAGAGAGAGAGAGAGAGAGAGGAGGAGG